GATAGACTTCGACCAAGCAAAAGGCCACGCCATCTTTGTCTTCATATATTTAACACATTCATACCCATAGGCTAGCTATGAAAGCATGTACAATGGCTAGTTTTATTCTAATGTAATTCTCCTTTTTCATCTTTTTATTCAGGTACGCTGTTTACTTGGAACTGCTATCTTCGTGCAGGAAGGAGAAACATTGACGGGTCGAGTGCTAATGGAAGCGAACTCCAGACAATCTTATGATGTTCAAATTGAAATTATCGTTCCTGGCAGTCAAATGAGGGTATATTTAGTTGTACAACAGCATGACATTTTGTTTATTTTCTATGAGCCTGATTGTATTAGTTTTTATATCTTAGGCTGAGTTGTAGTTGTTTATAGTTGAAATCTGCTAAGTAATTTTGTTGAACTCATTTCTATTTCAAGTAAGAGTTGCGACTAAGGCATTCGAAGGTCGATCCCACTAGATCACTGGCAAATTTCTCCTTAGTACATTCTGGTTACCGCTGTTTTCGGGACAGTCCTCTTCGATTCCAATGATAAATTGATGAGTATTTTCCTGTTATATGATGTATATCATCAGGGCAGGGTATCCTTCTTACGGCTTCTTTAAGCCATTTTGTCAAGATACTCATTGGTTTATCTCTGCATTCCGTGTATATGCCTTAAAGCTAGGCATTTTGATTAGGTGGAATGTATGTGGGCTTATTTGTGTTTATGTTTCTGTTCCTATATGCATTCATTTAGAAAATAGCATCAATCAGAATAATGTAGTAAGGCCAAGCGACAGCGGGCCAAGAGAAATCCACCATCGTCTTTCGGTTGGTTTGCCCTTTCTAGTCTCTTCATCACATTAAAATGAGCTCATCAATTGTAAATCAAGTGGTTCTTCGAAACTGCACTTCTTATAAAGTTATTTTGGGAATTTATTGCCATCCTTTATTGGTTAGGTCACCATTTTTGCTTGGAAATCACATGCACCATATTTAAGCATGCTTTTCGCATTGCAAAATATCTCGGATAACATTTCATCCTGTGATCGTGAACTTAACACACCTTTCTCATTTACACATAATTTACCCTTAATTTATTGCTCTATGACCGTATGATCGTTTCCTAATTAAAATTAACCATAGAGCTGGAGTGAATGACTGCTTTCACTTTTCGACTACAATCTGCATTGGTTTTAGCGTTATTTTTTATTATTCTCCTTGTTTTGAATTGTGATAATCAGAAGAATGAATATATCTGAGTTATGAAGACAAGGCTGGTGTAGCCTACTGTTTAGTCACTGTCTTCTTTAGCTTTATAGTGTTAGTTCGACCTG